ATTATTTCCGTTAGTGCTACCTATAAGAAAGTTCATTGAGCATCAAGTAACTGTATCAAATTTGGATGAGCAACTATTAACTTTTCAAAAATCGATGAGCAAGCAATCATTCATAGCAAAGTTCAGGGAGCAATGAGTTACTTTATAAAAATCAATGAGCGAATAGTAACCTATAACAAAATTCGGTAAACAAATAATTCCTTTTCAAAAATCGATGAGTGAGTAGTAATCTATAGCAAAATTCAGTGATCATTGTTTAAATTATCTTGAAACTTTCTCGAACAACCCCTTAATATGTTTGTAATATAAATTATTTAATTTCTTTCATGAAAAAAATAATTGTAACAAGAGTACATTTTTCTCCCTCTACGAAAGCATATGATTATCAATCGAGTGTTGCTACATTTAGAGGGTCTCTCACATAGCGGGGTCTCGACGTTGTTGTTGTTGTTTTTTTTTTTTTTTTCCCTTCGTATGAGGCCGATTCCTACAGTGAGGTGTCGGTTAGACCCACAGCAATTCCCGCTCTCCACAGGACCACAGCCCGCTTTGCCCTTTTTTTCTCTCTTTCTCTTCCGTCTCTATCATCTTTTTGTATCTCTTCAACCATTTCACACACTCACTCTTTAAAAACCATAACTTTTTTCTCTTCTTTTCACTTTTAATCAAGAATAAAAAAACCCATGTAGGGTTTTACTTTGAATCAAATGCAGAGCTTCAGCCTCTGCTAATGGCATATAAAATGGGAAAAAATGCTTTTGTGTTACTCTTCGGTATTTTGCTGTTTTTTAATGGTGTTTATTCTGTTTCAGCTACTTCTTCTCCTGCCAGTAAGTAGTTCTATACACACATTTATATGCATATGAATCTTGAACCAATTTATTTTTTGGGTATGGAGCGAGATGTGTGTGTAACTGTTTGTCATTGTTTTTTTTTTGGGCAGGAATTGTAAATGGCTTTTTCTCAAGTGCATTTTCTAGGCTGATGAAATGGATTTTATCGCTCAGGGACACTACTAAAACAGGTAAAGAGGGATCTCCCTCTTCGAATATGATTCATTGTTCCTATGTTTTTTACAGTCTTGATTTTCATGATTTGTGACAGCAATATCTGGGCGTCCAATGATGAAATTTGAGAGTGGGTACACAGTGGAGACAGTGTTTGATGGGAGCAAACTTGGCATTGAACCTCATTCTGTTGAAGTTTTGCCTAATGGGGACCTTCTCATTTTGGATTCTTCTAACAGCAATCTTTACAAGTTCTCTTCATCTTTATCCCTATGTATGTCCTAAACCAGCATTCAGTTGTTATTTGTGAATTTTGTGATTAGTGTATTCAGTATTGTGTGTTTGTCGGCGCTCGTGCACTAGCATTGTTTGTTCCATTGCAGATAGCAGGCCAAGGCTGATTACAGGGTCAGCAGATGGATACTCTGGATATGTGGATGGTAAATTGAGGGAAGCAAGGATGAATCATCCAAAGGGACTTACAGTTGATGATGGTGGAAACATCTACATTGCCGACACCGATAATATGTCAATCAGGAAGATAAGCAATACTGGTGATAATTCTTGATCTGTCTTTGAGCAAACAGAGTAACGGTTTTTGTTTGTGCACATAATGTTATGGTCTGCAGATAAGCATTCGGTATACAATTTTGACCAAGTAACAATAATCGTAATCTTCGTATTCTGACAATATGAACAGCTCAGTCATAGAACATGCTTGCATTTTTTATTTATTTTTAATTATATTGTATGTTGGACTGAACGAAGTCCAATTGTAGTGTTTGCTTATCCTGTTTTCTACTATACAAACTTTTTCATTGTACGGGTATATTGCTTCTGTATTGGGTCACCCTAGTTCCCAAGTCGTGGAAGAGGGTTGTTTTTCTGCAAATGTGAGGTGTGACATCTTTTATTGTAAAAGCTTCTTCTTTCTTGATTATCAAATCTGCGCAGCAAGTTGATGTAGGTTTTGCATTTAGAGTGAATTTCAATAACTCTGTGAACTTGTTCACCATCTGATTTCCTTTCCATTTTATTATTGACCTCAGAGTTGCTGTAAGAAATTAAGACTAGTCAACCAACTTTTGTAAAATATTACAGTGTATTTTACTAGTATCTATTGTGATTGGCTTTTATTTTTTTCTGTAGGAGTGACAACTATAGCAGGAGGTAAATGGAGTCGGGGAAATGGACATGTGGATGGACCAAGTGGAGATGCGAAATTTTCTAATGATTTCGATGTGGTCTATATAGGAAGCAGTTGCTCTCTCCTTGTTATAGATAGAGGAAATAATGCAATTCGTGAGATACAACTCCACTTTGATGATTGTGCTTATCAGTATGGAAGTAGTTTTCCGCTGGGTAAAATATATGAAATCGTATTCTTCTTGGCCTTAAGTTTGTTCCAGTTAAAAATTTATATGAGAAGTTAACTACTGCAGGTATAGTGGTGCTTATAGCAGCTGGCTTCTTTGGTTATATGTTAGCTTTGCTCCAACGAAGAGTTGGTTCAATAGTATCTTCTCAAGA